TCTGCTTCAGTTCCTGCCTCCAGGTTCCTGGCCTGACTTTCTTCAGTTATGGACTGTGATGTGGAAGTGCAGTTGCTTTTGGTCGAGGTGTTACTCACAGCAATAGAAACCCTAACCAGACACTGCCTAAATCGACTTCTTTCTCAGATTTAAGATCTTTTCACAGAATGGCCTCAAGCAGCTCCAGGATTATACTGTCTCACCTTCCAGCCCAGTGGGATAAGGGGGCTTTCTCTTTGATTCTTCCAGAAAAATCTCAGAATTTGGTGGGAACTAGCCACTGTCCTTAGAGCCTGTCTGAGGACAGCTCAGCTGAATAACTAGTTTGGACAAATCTGAAGAGTGGTATGGGCTAGCCCCATCAGGCTGACTCATGCAAGAAGAAGGTGATTTCCAGGAAACAGGGGTACTCTTGCTGGAAGAGGGGGAGCAATGGGTATCGAGGACAGAGCGCTTGTCAAGGTTTCAATATGTCTCTACTCTGTAAGGCTTCCATAAGGGGGAGGAGAACAACCAGGGAAATGAGTGAAAGATGGGGCTGACCAGAGATGACAGGTTGAAAGGGGGTGGAATATGGGACAGGGGGAGTAATTCTACAGGTGGCTAGGCAGGAAAGCACTTCAGTCTTAAGGGACATGACAGTTAGTGGGGCACAAAGGGAAGAGTGGATAGGCTCAGCTTTCAGTGATCAGCCATCCCCAGCCCCAAGCATGCACAGTGATACCAGACACCTGCCCTCCTAAGTACCTCACCTTCTAAGTACGCATACCACCAAGCATCTGTCTTACCTAGCACCAAGATGGCTGCCCCAAGCAGGCTCTGCCCACAGAAGAGGCAAAGTGCCCAGAACAAAAGATTTGAGGAACACATTGCCCCACTTTGGGTTTTGACTTCCGGGGCCTTGCTCAACACTATGGGGTGTGGAGTTTCAGTCATCGGGCCTTCCTAATCTGGCTGTTGATAAATTCACTCCCACCAACTCAGCAGAAAATGTCAAACAACCCAAGGCAGCTTTCCAGAACACAGCTCTGCTTCCCCAGGGGGCTGTCTTTGGGGGCTGTCCCGCCAGCATTTGCTTAAGGAGGCTACAAACCCTAATGCCTAGATGGATTCATATCAAGAGAACACTCTGTCCCAGCACCCAGGCCATGGGCAGAACACGCTTCATGCACCTTCCCTTTAATGTGGCCACCACAGCCTTGGCTTTGCTGAGGCCGCACTTACGTGTTTTTAACAGGGATGCCATATACATTCTTGGCACTCTGCTTCTTCTACACGTCACGTCATGAATGTGACTCAAGCTGTTGCTCGTGCCTTCTCATTACTGTAGACCATCTCTACATTTGTACGACTGCAGAGTATTCCTACTGTACAACGGTTTATTTATCTGCCCTGTCCTTCAGGGCCGTCTAGCTTATGACAAGTGTGGGGCACTTAGGGGCAGAGACTGTAGAAGGTCTGGTGCTCCTGCACCTGGGGGTTTTCGTCGCAGCACTGTAATCAGTGCTACACCGTGGTCTCATTCTGACCAATGAAAACATGTGACAGGCAATGTGTTGGGAATGTTGCTTCTGAGATGACCTGTTCAAGTGTTTTGCCAACTGTTCTGTCAGGCTGCTTATTTCTATCGGATGACACATTTTAAAATCGGCTCTGGACTAGTGAGGCGGCTTGAAAGTAAAGGTGGTACCCGCCAAGCCAAATGGTGTGGGTTCAGTCTCTGGGTTCCATGTGGTGGAAGGAGAGAATCAGCTCTCACCAGTTCTTCTCTGATCTACAGAAACACATATGCACAGATTTTTTAAAATTTTATTATCAAGTGTATGGGTGTCTTGCCTGCATATATGTGTATGTATCGTGGGCATGCCTGGTGCCCAGGGAGACCAGGAGAGGCCATAAAATCTCTTTGGACTGGAGTTACAGACAGTTGTGCATCTCCACGTGGGTGCTGAGAATCAAACCCAGGTCCTCCGGAAGAACAGCAGGTGACCTTATCCATTGAGCCCTCTCTGCAGCCCACATAAATAAATTTTTAAAAAGGGGGCTTGGTAAAGCTCAGTGGTGGAGCTCATGCTTGGCATGGCCAAAGCTCTTGGTTCCATATCCTACATGCCCCTCCCAGTAAAGTAGTCATGGTTCAGAAAAACACTATAAAGGGGGCACATGATGAAAATGCCCAGCCTCATTAGCCACCCGAGAAACTGAAACCTGAAGAACAGTGGGAGCCCATCTCACCCCAGCCAGAACGGCAAGCATTAAGAAGACAAGTAAGGAATGCTGGCAAGGATGCAGACAACGGAGCCCTTATGCACTGCTGGAAACGAAGTAACCCAGCCTCTGCGGAAGTCCCAGCTACACTACTCATTACCCAAACAACTCCATGTCAGGAGTTTACTGCAGCACTGTTAGCAACACTGCCGGGTGTCCAAGGACAGAGGATGGCTAACGAGAATGCGGGTTCAAGTGGACTTGTTCAGCAGTAAGGAACAAAGCCGTGTTGTTTTCAGGGAAATGGATGCAATGGCAAAA